TGGATGTCGTGATTTGATTATTTTCATCTTGGTCGAGGTTTGTACTTTCTGTCTTGCAATATGATTTACTTTGTGCTCTTGAGCATGGCTACAGTTTGAGTGATCAATGGCCATGTAAATGTTGCCTTTTTGTTTTCTCCTTTTCCACTTTCTTGATCATTACCTAATTCCTGTTATCAACGGGTACAATTTATTGCTGCACCTAACCCTTCAATATGTTTTACTTTTGTGAAACCACAAGTGGTTGATAGAATGATTTCTTATCACGACCAAATCATGCAAGTGTACAGGGTCGTTGACTAAGATATATTATGAATTTACTAAACTCTACTATCGCCTACCTAAATGCAAATGAAGATCGAGATGAAAGAGTTGTATGGGAAAACGTTCTAGGAATCCGATTCCACTAATAGAATTCGTAAATCCCAAACATCCACTTTCCGATTCCACTTATACTTTTCACATACCAAACTATCTATTGTGAAGACACAACACGGTATTCTTTGTGCACTCGAGTTGTAGAGCAAAAGTCTAATTATAAGTAAGAAATACTTATAAAGTAAGTCCATGTTTGTCTTCATTTTCTAGAATTCATTTTTTTTCAAACTCATTTCCAATTAAATATTCTCCAAAAAATAACATTTTGTGAAATATATTCTAAAAAAATTTCTTACAAACAGGTGCTAAAGTTTAGCCCAACATGCTGGAGTAATAATAGAAATCAACATGCCCATGAATTAATAAGTGATATTTACTCTCTCATGACTACTTTTCATGATTAAGTTGAAAATGTATGAAGGGTAGAGGAAAATTAAATAATTTTATCCCTTTGATGGCAAGAAATATTCATCATTCTTTATCTAAACTATAAAACCATGGTAGGGCCGGCTCTAACTATAGGCGGCGTAGACGATCGTCTAAGGCCCCATTTTGACAAGTGCCCCAAATTATGTGAGGTTTAATAGTCTAATTGACAATAAATAAAAATTATAATTACAAAATTCTTTAAATTAGAATTATCATATGCAAACACAAGAAATTAATAAAATTTGAAAATACAAACATATCCAAAAAGAAATCATATAAATGACAAAAAAACTTATCACATACATTTATGTATTACATAAATATATAAAATCTATTATTTTCTATATATATAATTAATTTGATTATTTATTTTCTCAACCTTCATTTTTCTTTTTCATAACAAGAAATGAAATGTCACTTTTCTCTTTTCAAAATTTACAACATTTACTTTTTCTAATGTTCCATGGTGGGTCTTATACACTTATTCGAGGAGTTTTTGCTAAATGCACTGTTGTTCATTTCTCTTTCTAGATTTCGTTTTATTTGTTCATTTACGTTTTTCCCCCCTTTTTCAATGTCATTGTATTGATTAATGTTTTAATTAAACTAATGCTTCTCTATTTGTTATGTAATCTGGTTTGAAATTTTTCTGATCCACTTATTATTCTTTTTTTTATTTTATGCTTGTGTTGGAGTTTAAATATTGTATTTTGTCTTCCAATTTTTGGAATTAGGTTAATTTTTTTAATTGTATTTAATTATTTTTAAAATAAAAGTCAATAATTAATTTTAACTACACATTTTATAGGACTCGCAAATTTTCAGTCCTACATTTCATTAATTTTTATTAGAATCTATTAAAAATCTGATTTTAATCTCTATCAAACATGAGCTTAATATTCATAGAGGCCCCATATTTGAAGTTGACATATGGCCTCCAAAATATAAGGGCCGGCCCTGAACCATGGCCATGTGGACCACCACGGCCCGACATAACTCAAGAATCATTGTAGAAAATTATTGTAATTCATATCGAAGACAAGACCCCAGCATATATTCCCTAAATCTTACAAAATTAACTAATTTAATCACGATTACTGTGTTAAACTGATATTGGGAGACAAAGGATCATGGACAAATACGAAAAATTATTATGTAAAATTGTCTTGTTCTTCACCTTCTCGTAGGCTTTATTAAATAATGGGTGTCAAACACCCCCTATAATTACAAAATTCTTTAAATTAGAATTATCATATGCAAACACAAGAAATTAATAAAATTTGAAAATACAATATCCAAAAAGAAATCATATAAATGACAAAAAACCTTATCACATACATTTATGTATTACATAAATATATAAAATCTATTATTTTCTATATATATAATTAATTTGATTATTTATTTTCTCAACCTTCATTTTTCGTTTTCTTAACAAGAAAAGAAATGTTACTTTTCTCTTTTCAAAATTTACAACATTTACTTTTTCTAATGTTCCATGGTGGATCTTATACACTTATTCAACGAGTTTTTGCTAAATGCACTGGTGTTCATTTCTCTTTCTAGATTTCGTTTTATTTGTTCATTTACTTTTTTTTTTTCCCCTTTTTCAATGTCATTGTATTGATTAATGTTTTAATTAAACTAATGCTTCTCTATTTGTTATGTAATCTGGTTTGAAATTTTTCTGATCCACTTATTATTCTTTTTTTATTTTATGCTTGTGTTGGAGTTTAAATATTGTATTTTGTCTTCCAATTTTTGGAATTAGGTTAATTTTTTTAATTGTATTTAATTATTTTTAAAATCAAAGTCAATAATTAATTTTAACTACACATTTTATAGGACCCACAAATTTTTAGTCATACATTTCATTAATTTTTATTAGAATCTATTAAAAATATGATTTTAATCTCTATCAAATATGAGCTTAATATTCATAGAGACCTCATATTTGAAGTTGGCATAAGGCCTCCAAAATACAAGGGCTGGCCCTGAACCATGGCCATGTGGACCACCACGGCCCGACATAACTCAAGAATCAATAGTAGAAAATTATTGTAATTAACTAATTTAATTATAAAGACAAGACCCCAGCATATATTCCCTAAATCTTACAAAATTAACTAATTTAATCACGATTACTGTGTTAAAATGATATTGGGAGACAAAGGATCATGGACAAATACGAAAAATTATTATGTAAAATTGTCTTGTTCCTCACCTTCTCGTAGGCTTTATTAAAGATAAAATTACCATTGATGACGATTGCATGCCGATTGGTATTATAAAATATAATTTGCAGATTCTATTATACATCACATTTACATTGTCTGACGAAGACGATTTATTGTTATAATTTTTTTCTCTTTTCTTATTTTTTTTTTACACAGTGAATCTATTTCACACATGGTTCTACGGTCATTTGGCAAGACTTCAATTTTTTTCCCCTTAAAAAACTCTTCTAGTCAAACAAAATATGTTCAAAAAATTATTCAAACATATTTAATAGCAATTTTCTTGATTTCATAAATAATTTTTGACTTCTCAAAAGTCCAATCAAGCTGACCGTTAATAAGTTAAAAGTATACGTAAGAGCTTGTCAAATCTTATAATATGAATGTAAATAATATACATAATTCATTGGGCATGTCTTGGTAGCTACATGTTACATTGAATTTTCGGGTGCAGTAAATAGTAGACTAAATGTCACGCACCGAGAGTACTCTTCTTTCCATACGGGGCGACAAGGTCACCAACAGCTAGACATGATCTATTTTATCGAAGAATGCACTAACTAGTGTTCATATATAGGTATTGTCTAGCATCCTACCCATAAGCATGTGTATGCCAATTGTTTCGAGATTTGTCGGCCTAAGAATGAGGTAAATACTTCCTGAGGAGCGGAACCACTGGGACCGAAATTGTGGTCCGTGAAAGGTTATATCAAAGCAAGAATGCTTGAATATGTGTTGTTTGAGGAAAACATCATCGACGTGCCTTCTTGTGAAAAAGATTTTGGTTACGGACCGAGACAGCAAGCAAGCATAACTAAGAAAGCTTTGGAGATGATGGACGAGAAAGGCAAGCATTGTGCAAATGTGCTTATGTGTTTTGTGAAGTTAATTTTGTGGTGCGCTATTGTTGAGTACAAAGATAGAGATTGTGTTACTGTCTCAACATGCGCAGTGGTGTTGCAGCAGAGATCATCCATCCGATAAACTAATGTATGAGGGGTATATGGTGAAGGTTGGTGGCGGAGGTAGTATGTATAGGGTTACCGTGGGCAGACATGAAAGAGTGTTGCGTGATGTTCTTCCATAAGGAGATGATGTTGCTATTATTCTTGCAATGAGAGGAATATGCATTGATGCTAAGTTCACTTACCGTTGTGAGGACGTTTAGCTGATTGAACATTGGAGAATGTCACGTACTAAGAGTGTTCCTCTTACCATACGACACGACAAAGTCTCAACAACTAATGTATGACTTGTATAATAGAAGAGTGCACTAATTGTATCATCATATGTAAGTCTTGTCGAACATCCTACCATGTATGTGTGTGTGTATGTGTATCAATTGTTTTGAACTTTTTCGACCTAAGAATGAGTAGAAAGTTTCTTGGGACGCTGAACTTCGGGGACTAGACTTGAAGTCCGTGGAATCAAAGTTCGTTAGAGTATAATTTTTAGGCTTTTCGATATTGTTATAATAAAGTATTTATTTGCTTTAGACCTTCCAGTTGAATAGAGTGATAAGTTTTTGCATAGACAAATTTAAATTTATTAAAAATAAGAATGCAAATAATTATCGTATTGATTGTTAAACAATCAAAAAGAATCGAAAAATAATATGCTGGAGCCGGGCTGAAGTATTGACATACAATATACATGGAGTTTGAAATGTGTCCGAGAGGAAGTCCAGTCACACAATCTTGTAAATATATTCAAATCCAAGGGCAATTTCGTCCTTAAGACGTTTATAAGACCCGTTATTGACCTCTTTCTCTTTCAATCTCAACTGCGCTTAATTTCAATTTTGAAATTCCTCTAGCAACTTTTCTTTCATAAAGATACCTGTGACTATAGATATACGCGAAATTTTTATACAAATATATAGTTCTGCAATTGCCGGCGGCGTCATCGGAGATGGGAAAATGCAACAAAATTAGTCAAATTGTGAGAATCCGGCAGATGCTCCGGCGATGGCATAAGAAAGCAACATTTCGCCGCATTCGCGGTGTTCCGTCTGATGTGCCAGCGGGACACGTGGCAATATCCGTGGGAAGTAGTTGCCGGAGGTTCGTTGTGCGTGCGACGTACCTGAATCATCCAATTTTCGAGAAACTGCTCGCTCAAGCTGCGGAAGAATACGGATTCGCAAAATCGGGGCCGATCGCCATTCCCTGTGACGAGTCAGTATTCGAGGAGATCCTCCAATTCTTGGCCCGACCGGACTCGGTTAGATCATCACGGTGCATCAATCTCGACGACTTCCAGAGATGCTACCACGTGGGAATCGGGAACAGTAACCTTCATTTTTTCGGCGAATCTAGGCCGTTGCTTAGTGGTTACATTGCCGGATCTGTTTAACTCTTGAGTCAAGATGAGTTGGTAAGAACGATTTGCCCGAGTTTGATTATCTAACAAAGTTTTAACCATTATTACTTTTTCGAGTGGAGTAGTGTCTCCACAAGTACTTTTACTTTTTCCTCTTGTTTGCCTTTTTTCTCTGCTTTTTAGAGTGGAGCGTGCTGTAAGAAAAAAAAAAGTACTTTAAAAAGTTACTTTTTAGTAGATATCACTAAAGACGGATTATTAGTTGAACGTCTTTTGGGATTTATTGTTGATCTTATTTGAATTAGTATTACAAGAATGCTAATTATATTTATTAGTTATGTGGGTTTGTAATTTGTTTGTTCATTGTTTATAGCAATAGGGATTTGATTTGATTTCTTTGTTTTTTCAGAAAATTGATATCCATAAATGGTTTGTTTGCATAGTTAAATTAGCATCTTTACATATCCAATTAAGACCTTCTTTGGTAAAATCTCGAAGTTAAAGTCTGATTTAATCTACACCAAAAAGGGTAAATATCAAGTTGTGTAGTGATACTTCCCTGTGAATATCCACCTTCCATTACAAATGGTGATTAAAATAAATCAGTAGTAAGCTCATTTGTATATCCATCATTCCATTACAAGAAGGTGGTTATGTATGAGCAGTGACGGACCCAGCACCCGGCGACGGGGGGCGCACGCGCGTGCTGGGATTCGCTGGAACAGTGGGCTGTGGCTTGTGGAAGGAAGAGGGAGAGGAAGAACTGAAGGAAGAAGACGACCAGAATCCTTCTAGTTTTTTTTTCTTTTAAGTTTGGGCTTTTTCTTCCAGCTATGGCCTGTGGGCCTTTTTAAAAATAACCAGGCCCAATTGATCATTGAGTCTTTGATCCATGACCAATTTAATGATCCCTGAATTTTGTCTACTGCAAAAGAGACGAAGATGAGAAGAAGGAGAATGCAACTTATTTCTTCTGTTTCAATTTCAGTTAACGATCACAGCTTTGGCCTACTTCCAACCTACAAGCCAAAGTTCTTATATGGAGAAGATGAGGAGAAGGAAGAAGATGGGGGAAATGAATT